ACTTTTGATGTTTGGTGATATTATGAGAAGTAGGAAGAATTCCTAATAGTTTTTCAAATATTTTATTTGAACAAAGTTATAAAGGCCTCAACAATGACTAAATAACAAGGTGGTTTTCTTGCCTTGGTATAAAACACTATCGATAGTTGATATAACCTATCAACTATCTTTGAAAAGATCAAAGATCAAAGTATGTCGCAAATATAATTTGTCGCACCTTGGATTTTATTAATATATGATGATCACTTCTTGTAGAATTTGTTCTTAGAAGAAGAGATAATATCACAAATATACATAGATATTCTACTAAATATCTATATAATTAGATAGAAGTAAGTAAAATTAAATAAAAGTATGTTAATTTCATAATACCTTCTAAAGAAGCTTTTTAGAAGCTTCATAGATACTGCTTTGATTTTATTTGTATTATTAGTTGATTGGTAGGTTAGAAACTTACTCAACAAGTTAACCACATATTGATAGTCTTACGGATATGCATGTATAAACCAATAATTATCTATATGATTACATAAAAGTAAGTAAAGTAGGTTAATTCCATAATATCTTATATAGAAGCTTTTTAGAAGCTTCATAGATGTTGCTTTGATTTTATAAGTATCTATAATTGACTTTTTAGATTAAAAAAGTGGTGAATAAGTTGGACATGTGCCACACATGTTGGTAGCTTGAAAAACAAGCTAATTATGTGGCCCAAATACATAAAAGTTGTCTTGTAAGCTAAGGCATGTATCTTACAAAGTCAACACATATTAGAAATACTATAGAACATTGCCATATAGCTCCTAATTAGATAGTATATATAGAGGCAAGAGTAAAGTCATCTTCACTCTTGTCAACTCCTTTCTTATTTCTAGTATAGGTTTAAGGATCTCTAGTTTCTTTGTCTTTTGACAATAGTCATTTTAATTTTCTTTTAGTATACATAATAATTTATTTCTATTTTTTCACTTTTCTTTTGATACAAAATTTTTAAGTTTATGCATCTTCTAATTCATGTTCTTGACAGGTAACTTGTAGAAGAAGCTAACTATGTGGTGCACATATAAAAAATTTGTCTTGCAAGCTAAGTTTTGTATCTTACAAAGTCAACATGTTTTGAATATTCAATAGGACATCACCATATAGCTCCTAATTAAGAATATATATGGAGGTAAGAGTGAAGCCTTCTTCACTCTTGTTAACATCTTTCTAGTCTTTAGTCTTGTTTCAAGATTATTTGGTTTTCTTTTTTTTAGTAATAGCCATTCTAGTTTAATATTATATCATCTTTAAGTGGCTTTTTAGTTCCTTTTAGTGACACAAGACTATATTAAGGATTTTTTTTTTCTTTGAGATTCATATCCTTGATACAATATACATAACATCATATATTTGATTGCATCTAAGAAAAAATATTTATAAATAATTTAAAGACCAAACATATAAAGATATTGAAGCTAATCCATCAATATCAAAGAAAGACACCTTATTCTCCAAAGATGACAATCTTTGTGTGCCATCAAAGATAAAAGTTTTGTTGTGAGGATATTAATTTAATCAACAATATTGAAAAATTTAAATAGTGGTTGCCTAAAAGATATGAAAGATATAAATTTTTTATGAAATTATTATATCCAAAGGATGAAGGACAACATATTGAAGTGTATATCAATTCAAGTCATAATGGCCATAATCCTAGATCATAAAAAGATTCTTATTTTTAACCTATTCATCAAAATATAATTAATAATTGTGCTAAGATGTTAAATAATCTTAATATCATAAAATTTATTTTAGAATATTTCAAGAGATGTGAAGAAAAAAATTAAAAAAAGTAAATTCTATTGCATGAACAATGAATATTTTATTTTTTTTAGATCCAAAAGAAATATCAAACCTATCATATCATCTTCAAATAAAAAAAAGATGCAATAAAAAAAACTATGAAGTGGTAAGAAAAATGGTTCTTAAATAGATAGAAAATAAAGAAATAATTTTCTACTAAGCTTATGATTCAAAAAATCTAATAATAGAAGAGCTATCATTTGTATTATTGATGCAAATAAAAAATATGCTTGAAAGAACAAAAGATATTACAACAAGTTTGGCATGGATTGTGGACTCAATGTTTAAGTCCAATTAATAGAATATGCCATTGTATGCTAGAATGTACCTTAATATAATGGGATTAGAGATGGTAATTTTTTTGATATTTTGTAGTATTTATAATGATATTAATTAAGAGCAAATGGCATTATATCTTACAATATATATCATGTTTTAAAATATGAATATAATTTGATCAAAAGCAATAATAATTGATAAAATTAGTATAGAATATAAGGCTTTAATGAAAGCCATTAAAGAAGCCTTTTGTGTTAGAAAAATAAAAAAAAATGGTGGAATTCAAGTAAAGTCTCATATAATTTTGTATTGATTCCATACAAAAAAAACATAGATTGAATAATTATTGCTTTAATTACTTAAAATTGAGTGTTTTGATTTATGAAAGACAATAAGATCTATAATAGAAGTTAATAGTGGAAAAAAAATTGACATTGAGTATAGCAGATATAAAATTACATAGGCTGAAAATATAAAAAAATAAAAAAAATAGTTAAATATGTAGAGAATGGTTGGGCAAGGCACAATTACCAATGAAAGTTGATGTAGCCAAAATAATCTAGGTTATATCACCATGGACATGCCAATATAACTAATCTTGTAGAATACACGTGAGAATATATGAAATATATCCTTTTAAATGAAAAAATAAATTGACAACTTTATGAACTCATCATTGCATTGATAAGCAAGCCATATACATGATATTGTTTTAGAAGAATTACTTTGGTACAATACTACAATGATGTCCATATATTTAATAAATAAAAAATAAATAAAAAATAAATTAAGAGGAGGAAACAAATAACAAACATTAAGATTGTAAAGAACTAGGTGATTGGTTAAATATTACAAATAAGACCAATTGTCAAATTTTGAAGTTCTTGATATATGATGCATGGATTTTGCCTTTCAAAGCTAGGATATTCTAACAAAATGGTATATTATCAGTTTATCTCACAAATGGTGTAAATGCAATGATTATGGTTTTATATGTAAATACATTTAGATTATAAGATGGATTGTTAATGAAGAATATCCACATTTGTTGGATTTATTACTAAAAGCATACAAAGACAATAGCTTCTTCAACTAAAAATAAGATGTTTTTGATGATGTTCCATGTAATAGTCCAAGTATTGAACCAAATGATAGTCCAAGCAATGGAAGAAATAATAGAATTCAAATTCCTAGGCATGTTATTCAAGTCCTCAAATTATTTGAAATAACTAGTTTGATGATATCAAACAAGATCGAGGCCTTAATCATAGAACAATATGAGGCTTTTAATAAAGCAATATAATTAATCTTGATACTTTTAAGGTACAAAAGACTTATTACTAAGATTTCTACAAATCTCTATGCTAAGAGAAGGTGGTAGTATCATCCCTATACAAGCTCATGCTAAAAATATTAGACTTGGATTTAGAAGCCAAAAAATAATAATAATAATAATAATAAATATAATAGAAAGAATCTAATAGCACCAAAACTTGGTGGACTCAAAGTTTTATGACAAAGATAAGAAGTTGTTTAGGAAAAGCATATACAAGTGAGACTACCTAAGCTATGTAAAAAAAATATATCTTAAGTGTAAAGATTTAAACATATTCTCTATTAGAGTTATCAAAATTGAATGCAAAAATTACCAATACATGATAAGAAAATAAAAGAAGATAAAGAAGATAATAGTATTGCATTAGATAAAGAAGGATGCAATATTGACTAAGATGTAGAATTATTCTTCAAGGATTTAGATTTTTATTAAAAATATAGATGCAAAATTTGGTACTTTTTATAAGGATTTGATTTGATTTGATGATATTTCATATGTAGTATTTATCATTATATATAATAAAGACTCATTTTAGTGGTGGTTTTTATGACAACACTATTATGATTATTGTACTTGTTTTAGTTGTAAAACTATTTAGATACATAATGGTTGTAAAAAATGTTTTATGATTTGCAAAATATTTTGAAGAGAAATTTTACAATATTATTAATAAACTATGTGTAATTTAAATATTCAATAAAAAATAAAATGAACTAAAATGTAGCCAATCTATATTTTATTTCTTATAAAAAGAAATAATCAATGATAAACCTTTTTTTTTATATAAAATATCTGCGTTTGAGAAAAAATTAATGAGTAAATTTTTTAAGTTGAAAAGATTCTTCCTGGAAAAAAATATATCATGTACATGTATGATTGCCGTTGTGTATGGCAACAAAAAAATTATTTTGAAGGTTGAAAATCGGGATTGTGCTTCTAGTGTAGTTGTTGTGGTTTAGGGTCTAAGGCGGAGGGCCACGCGCAAGATAGCATTGTTTGCGATTTTGTAGACGCAAAGTTTCATCATGTGCTGTGGAAGCTGCTGAATTGTATACCTGGCATTGAGCAGAAATTTCAGCAAAAATCTGTTAGTTGGAGAGATTCCTTCGTCGTTCGTTGATACTTCAATGTCTTCATTCACCTGGAGGACCTTCACATTGTGATAGTTGGTGTTTTATTTTTGAACTGCTTTTGTATGCAATATGTAGTAATCAATTTCTCCGAGTTCTGCGACCAGCAGAGTAACTGATTCTTTGATCATTCATGGCACAGAGACCTGAACAAACTTCCGCACCCATGTGAATGCGGATCAAAGTGGGCCCAGTGAGGGAGTAGAACATGGATCCGTGCGGGCCCAATCAGGAATGGGTTCTGAGTTTCCAACCTCACGCCCTCCAACCCGCACGCCCCCTGATTCCCTTCCGTTCCCTCCAGGCGTTCCCAATAAATCCTGTAACGGTCAGGATTCAACATGGAAATCTGACGGCCCAGATGTCTCAAGACAGTCGATTGAAGAAAGTGGTTTATGCCACACGATTCAGCGAGTGTTTGCCCCCGGCCACCGCTTCCTTCGCGCTCCCTCGCTCTTTGTGGGTTATCGGTACGCAAGGCTGCGTCCATCGCTGATCTGAGAGCTTGCTTCACTTTCCACGTGACTCGGGATCGGGATATTTCTGTCTGGATCTGAGATTGTCGCCAGTGAGCTTTGGTGAGGGGTTAAGGTTTCTGGAGGTTGGAACGCTGTTGTTGATTAGCTTGGAGTAGTGTGTGAATAGGCTCTGTGGCTTTGCGAGATCAAGGGGCAGGGAGCTGAGGACATGGTGGAATGCGACGCGGGTTTCTGAACTTTGGGATTGGTGGTGCGTGCGGTTGATGGACTCGTAGTGGTTTTGAGGTGTTGTTCGAAAATGGAGGTTTTAGTTGCTTCCATGTGAGATGGCGCGTTGACCATGACTTGTGATTTGTGAGAACGGTGCCGTCTTTGCGGGTGGAACATGGGAGTTTTAGAAGATGCGCTGCCACTGCCCTTTTTCACCGATTCTGGCTCAGCTATGATGAGTTGAGCTGATGCTTTGTGTGGAGCCATTATAATACAGTTTTTTTTTTTTTTTTTTTTTTTTTTCCAAAAATAAATTTTGTCGAGTTGCTGGACCAACTTTCTGTGACGGCCGTGCAGAGTGCCTGTCAGTGCTATGGCGAGGATCAGCCGGCCTCGATGTCAAGCAAAACGTGTCTGCGTCGTTCTTGTAGTGTTAGTGACGGTCTTCTTCCCACTTCTGTCATTCCTGTCCACCTTTACTTCAGAAGGGAGTCGCCCCTTAACAGATCGGCACCTCCAGGCAAAGAAGTTTCAACGTAGTGATCCAGTTCAATTTCCTGTCAAAGCGTGTGATTGTAAAAGTGAGAGAAATGCTAGGCAAGCAGAAGCAGAGAGAGTGATCCAATCGCTGGAAACAGAGGAGAGGTCGAAAGCTTTCGAGAAAATTTTCACCACCGACTTTTGGGGTGGAGGCGAGTCTCGCTCAGGTCCTGGTAGCAGGATTGATTACACGGGGAATGTTAGGTTGCTGGTTGCGCACGCTCTAAAGGATTATCGTGTTCAGCACGTACTTGACGCACCTTGTGGAGGTAAGATGCGTTCTAACTGCCGCTTTACTATCTACTAGCCGCTGTAAACAGACCGCGCATAGTATCTCAAGTGTAAACCATTAATCCTACTTTTCCTTCGATTTATGCAGACGTCAACTGGCAACCTTTAATCGAGGGTTTTAATTCCACAAGGTATACTGGGTACGACATTGTCCCCCAAATCATTCAAAAGAACACGGAGAGGTTCAAAGACTTCCCTAATGTAGACTTCGCTAGGGTGGATTTTGTGAACACGCCCATTACGGTAAACCCGGACCTCATCATCTGCCGTGACGGGATCCAGCATAACAGCCTCAAGGATGGAGTGCGCGGTTTTGTCAACCTCGAAGCGTCAGGTGCAAAATACTTGGTGACGAACTGGCACACTGAGACGGGGCGAGGATTTGTACAGGACGACAATGCCATCAATAGGGACATCAAATTTGGCGACGCTTATCCTATCAACGTGTTCACTAATCCTTTCAACTTTTCGATGCCCGAATATTTTATTTCCGAAGGAGTGAATGGGATAAATCAAGATGGGAAGTTGGTTGGGATTTGGAAGCTGCCTGCTTTGTGGAAGGGCGACGGGAAACGTTTCAATGTCCCTCCTTCTCTGTCGAGTAGGGTGCGGGGAGAAATCATTTCCAAGTCTGACGTCAAAACGGCACTGGCGTAATGAAAATGAGTGGATCATGTTTGTTTCTTCTACTCTGTGTAAATGCACAGTGATTTACCATGCAACATGGGCGGATACAGTTTCATTAATCCATTATCGTGTAAATTTAAAATTTTCACAGTATTAACTGCAAGTTTGGCAAGTAGTTGGTATTGCAATTCTAACAGCTCGATATTCATCATCAATTTGAAAAGTTACAATGAGGTTGCCAACCGCATATTCCCTGGTTTGGATTTGCACATTTTTGCGTTAAATCATTGCGTATATTGGAAGCATTTTAAGGAACATTAAATGGATGAATACAGAGTAGCCACTGTGAATTTTTAATAAAGTACACTATTCATGTCCCATTGAAATGTAACAAGTAGCTGCCGCAGGGTTTTTTTTTTTTTTTTTTTTTATTTTTTATTACTGGATTCCAGTACTCTCTGATGGGTATTTCGAGCCTTATGTTTGTTACATCAAACCCTTCTTTGAAAATCTCAGACAGATTCGCTGCAATGGTCTGCATCAAAGTAAAAATAAAAATAGAGAGAAACCAAGCATTCTGACGTACTGGCCCCATTCTTGTCACCTACCATACGATGCTACAGCCGCCATGAGTTGTAAAAACGGTCAGATTGGTAGGGCTTTTCCTACCCACGTCAATCAATGCTGCAAGCGTGTTCATGACGCGACAGCTGGGCATGTTGACTTAATGGTTTTGAATGTGCGCCCGAGCGGACTGCATCAACATATACCACACCGGACGATGTTAGGGTTACCGTTTAATCGACGTAGCGGTGGACAAGCAGCACCAATGAGGGCAAATATTCGCACTAATGTTCTCGGGAAAGAAGGGTTCATTATTGACCGAATATTACACGTGTGACAGTGACCGTCTGCTGCTATTTAGGGAGGGGTTAGGAAAAGGAATCAACCTTATCACCGAGAGATTTCGTGACAGACTTAACCCAACTCCACTGTATTCACACTGCGGGAACTGATTTCAAGAACTGGGGAGATATTATCATTTGAAATAGTCAACGGAAGGGTAGAAGTACATTATGGTCGATGAAGATGGTGAGGAGAGATTACTGAAACCTTGAATGAGGCACTTACGAGCATTCATGCAGTATCAAATCCTTTGGAGATTGACTGTGAACAACTAACAGCCTCCTGAAGCAAGTTCTCCCAATGTCGCTCCGTTGAAGCTGGTGTTAATGGCCTGCAGTGAACGTTTCCTTGAGTTACTTACAAAATCAACTGTATGCGATCATATCAAAAAGAGGCCTCTGAATGTGTATATCTCTAGAAGATGTCATCCCTGCAATCCACGTCCCCTGTGAGAATACTGAATGTAATCAAATGAAGGAAAACCCATTGTGAACCTCTCTTCTTTATCATCGAAGTCTCCATGCTTTGACGGCGAATTCTTTGGTTTCGCAGGTTCTTTTGTTTCAGTCGTGGAGTTCGCCTGAAGCTTGAGATATGGACTTACCAAATCCACCTTCTGCAAGGTACCGCTGTACAATTCGATAGAGTTGAATGCAGAATTCTCCCGCCATGGATAGACTTTTGTGTCCGCTGCTCTTTTCTCTAAATCTGGAATAGTTAGACTGAAGTAACAGTTGTTGCTCGCATTTCTGGGGAGTTTGACCGCTTTCAGGCCTGATGCCTTCGAAGTACAAGATAAACTACATAGCGAACGCAACGAATTATTACCCAGCAATGATCAAACAATTCGCAAATTCACGCAACATCCCCAGGACTGTGTTTATATTTTATTCCTCACAGTTTTGATTTTTCTCTCACTTAAAATAATTCAGTAACATTTAGAACAAGATTGATGGGGGTTAGTTTGGCAGAAATCAAGGTGTGCCCATACCCGGCATTGGAGGTATCGCTGCTTGTGATCTGTGGGTCTTCAAATCCTGCAACGAGGGATAATTGATTTACGGCTTTCTCTTGGGGTCTGGAAACTATGGGGCGCTGAGGGGCATGTGGAGATGCTGGACTGAACGATTCGGAAGCCTGTCCAGAGCCAAGCTTGGAAGACAGCCGGACAGCTGGTCTGGTAACCATATTCAGTGATTTTGAATCCAGTTTGTTAATTAATTGCTTGGACATCCTGCTGGGCTTCTCATACCTCCCTGTGACTTGTTCTGGTAGCAATAATTTTTCAGAGATATCTACTGCCACTTCTTTGTGCCGAGCAAAGTCGAAATCATCATTACTACCCGCTTGGATGTGTCGAGCCGATCCTGTTTTCTTGGTGCCCTCCTTATTGATCGTCTGGGAGACGGATCCAACATTGGAAGCCCCCAGGAATTGACAGAGACTTCTGATATCTCTCTCGGATTCCTTGGCAGATGTCTCATACGTCACTGGCCTTGAATTCTGAGTCGCAGATTTACTTGAGTGAGGACCGTGGTAAGCCTTCAACGGCCCTGAACCATGTCTGATTTTGGATGTGTGTCGAGAAGAGCTAGGTTTCCCTACTGTTGCACATGGGGATCCTTCAACTTCTGCTTTCCTGCACAGCTGAGAGCGATGGAACTTGGTAGCTTTCTTCAGCATAAAGATGAGTGGATCCCCTGGAAAACAAGGTCGCGTCACCGGACTAGATGGTATATCTACTGTATTTCCCACGGAATTGCTATCACGAAGTGTGTCGCTAGACCTTCGTGACAACCTGCCATGGTTTAGAGCAGCATTTTCATCTTCCTTCACTGCCCATGTTTTACATTTTACGTATTCTCTTCTAGACAACCGTGATGATCGTGGTGCAAGTGAAGACATTCCACCATGGTCAGTTGACCGTGTCGCTGGGCAAGCCGGCATCTCCTTCATATCCATCTTCAGATCCCTTTCAAAGGACAATCCGTAGGATTCGTCTGTTGAAATGTTGCTTCTTGACGAGTCACTTCCCGTCATACTTTCTAGGCACCTCTTATTCTCAATACAATTCTCAGGGTCAGGTACTCGCGAGGTGGTTCCGTAAGCATCTCCTTGTTCATTGCGATTTGCCTTTCCAGTCATGTTATTGTGAACAGAGCCTCCCATGAACTGTCGTTTCACTTCCACACACTTGTTGGGAGCTACTCTGCGAACGTCGTCGATACTGTGCACTTCATTGAAATTTGCCGAAGTTCCGTTACGATTTGTTGGCAACACCCTCGCTACCTCTTGGCCAAGGTGTTCTACTCCTCGGTCACAGGCATCTGCGAGCAAGAATGAACTACGTGTATAGTGAATCTTCATTGATTGCTGCAAGAGCTCTTCTAAGAAAACAACTTAACCTATTTCGAACAATCTTCTAGCGAGTGGGGGAGTTGGCAGTAAAGCTTCGTCACATGCATTGTTTTGCGTTACTGAGAATTACCTTCTGAAGAATCCATAACTTCCAAAGCTTTAAGAACATATTCGCCACTTTCACTAAGCGGGAGAATATCGTCACCGTCAAAGACATCGCACCAGATAAAAGTTCCTTTGTAGCTCCTGCACACAAACAATGGCTGCTATCTCACTTCACAACCAAGTAATATTTCCAATATTGCAATTTCCAACAGCATTTCTACTCGTTAAATTTAGATGCATCTATGCTGCGAAGGTAAGCAAGTAAAAGGAAACCTTCATCAGCATACAGATTACAGTGTTACTTTTGACTGCTTTCAGGGAAGCCTCACATGAGACTGATTGAGCTACCTTTTGTATGACCAAGAGTAAGAATCCGGCATGCCTCTTCCCCGAAGTGCAGTCAACCGGAACTTCACATCTGTGCAAATCCATATCGAATATTAACGAGACATTGTCTTTCGCGACAAGGAGCGTTCACTACGAAATGTTGCAAGACTGAAACATTTGAACCACAGTCTCACAAACAAAGATATCAATTAACTCTAGATCGACCAGAGGTAGAGGGCTCTTCAACACGGAGAAGTAACAGATGATACGCAATTAGAAAAGAAGATGTTGCGCAAGACCTGTGATAATACACGCGCTAGAAGAATAGCGGGAACTGGTTTCGCAGTTTTGACAAACCTCTAAGTGTAGGGGCATGTTGGTGTGAGGGATACTGCACTTGTATCATGTGTGGATGATCATCCTGCTCGGCCCCCTTGCTGAGGAGATAAATCACTTCAATTTTGTGATAGGACTCAGATGAAGAATCCATGGTGTGTGCGCCAACTTCTTGCTGGTTCAACCTCTCAATTTAAATCTGCGGTGATCCGTGCCATAACAGTTTTACCAAAGTCGAGAAGCTCCAGGTGGTGTAAGTTTTTCACTAGTGCATCTCAAGTAACCCGAACTCCTTCCTCCTGTATTCAATTACAACTGAGCCTAACTGGTAGAGGTCCGAGCTAAATGTATCTGCATACTCTCTTAGAAGACAATGAGCAGTGACTTGAAAGCACTACGCATCACATGTTGAGCTCGCCGTCCCGTAGGTAGAAGGTGGAACAAAAAAAACAGCAGCGCTGGAGAAAGATTGCGAAATGATCCTTGATGACAGCCGCAAACGACTCAGCAAGCCAGCTTCTACCAAGATTCAATACGGAGAAGGAATACCCCAAAACTTTGAGATAATTAAAATAGCATACACAACAGCAGATCGTAGGCTATCCATGTACTGCGCATCCTCCATACACGAGCAGATGCAGTCACGTCCGTTTGACAAGTTGCAATTTGTTACCAGACTGAGGTGCAAATCATCAAGGCCATACAACCTGCGGCACTTCTGTCCTTGGCTTTTGGACCTGCAGGATTGCTCGATCTACGCTCGATGTCGTGAGGGTTCGAGAAATCGTGAAGGCAATGGAATGGCAACGGAATGGTACACCTCTCCCGGCAGGGGAGTGCCACTACTAAGGTTGTACTCGCTCGATGATTATCACTAACGATCTGCTCCCCGCGACTCTTTCGGCCTTCAACCAAGTATAATGTCTAGATCAGCTCAGCTGTAACAACTTAAAAGTGTGTATGAAATCAAGTTAACCGCATAGGAACCATGAATGTACAAGACCTCTACAATATAACTAGTATGAGCAATGAATCTCACATAATTACAGGAGCGTCACCCCGAATGCACACAGCAGCGAATTCAGGAGTAGTAGTAACGAGATTAGCAAGAGGAAAATCACCATTCCAGCAGGGGTAATGTAACACATACAAAAGGTTGAAATCACCAGCGCCGTAGTAAAGTTGAGGAATGATGGCTGGCAGTGAAGTTTAATGCGACACTGCAACTCTCCTGAGTCTATCAATGTATAAATTCCCTTATTCAAAGCTATACCCTAAGGCTTAAATCCTCTTGAATGCCCTACATCTCGACAAATGTATGTGAGCAGACCAATGAAATTCCCATGTACAGTTTTTCAGTGTTCAAGCACCTAGTTCACCATCACATTTTTACACGTAGCTGGCTGAATAACAACGGAGCTACAGTTGATTCGAACGTGTACTGCACCAATAATCGTCAGAACCCATCCTACAGATTGAGTGATGAGGTATTCTGGAAATAAGAGATGAACAGAGTGTGGAGCCAGGCAAGCTGCAGGGTTTTCTGACTCAATTCGTCTTAAGTACACCCCTATAATGAGAGATCAACTTAGGCAACACAGCAGTTAGGGTTGAAAGAGGGAAAAACACTAAAACACTTAAACAAAACAAAACAAAAAGTAAAAAACAAAAACCCAACTATATATCACTTTGTAAAAGCTGCCCTGAATTCATCTATCCTCTTAGCACTTTGTGGCGCCTACTACCAGCGTTTGAATTGCGTCTCAACCACGATAAAAATTTGTTACGCGATTAATGCTGCCGACCCATCTCGAGCAATGTTGTGAAGAGCCCTCCGAGTAAATGAGGCTGGCTCAAACTCCCCCACATCAATGATCTCTGTTTGAACTTTGTAGTAAACTATGCCACCAAATCCTGATGGGTTGAAACGCATTAATAGCTCCTTGCTCGGCATTGAACACTGAGTCAATGGTCTTCAGAGCTCAACGTTCTGGCAGAGCCTTGGACATGAAAGAGGCTCTCGTTCCTACCAGGCAAGTCAGCAATCTAGCTGAACTGACAAACATACAAACAGACAGACAGAATTACTCTGAATTACTCTGCCTCTGCAGCAGTATTGTTCATCTGTCTAAATCCTAATTTAGGTTCATCCGGGTTCTACTCATCAGGGATTCATGCTTTGATTGCTTGTGTTTGTGTTTTTTTATTTTATTTTAAACATAAGGGGAAAACCCCCCTTGCCATTGAAAAACAGGGTTACAATTCCAGAGTCTAGGTGAGAACTTCTATGTTGGGTGAGAAGTGTATACCTCAGGTAGTAGGGTGCTTCTCTTTATCTTTAATCCATAATTTTTAGGCTTTCTAAACCAAGACTTTTGAAAAAGAAAAAGAAAATGCCTTTCTTTTTTTTTTTTCTTTTTTGTTTTTAACATATTAAGAGAAATATCTTTCAACATCTTTTGTCATAGTTTATTAATCTATTTTAATCATATTCATATGTTTTCTCTTTTTTTATAATTAAGTCATTCTATTGTTCATATATGATCCAAAAGCAACCTCTTATCATAAAAGGCCAAATGATTTTTATGTTAGAAATATTTTATAAACTAATATCAAATATTTTTTGTTAAATAGGTGGAACTAGCCACATAGCATGCCCTTGACCTTTTTATTTTTGCTAAGATAATATAAAGTAGTTGTGCTTCGCTTCCAAATGCATTGAATTGTACAGCAACTCCAAAATCAATAAATGAAAATTTTAAATATCTTTGTGGTACATAGTTGGTAATTCTTATTAATTTCATTTTATATTATCATATGCCATGTATTTATTGTAATGTCTTTGTATCATGTAAAATACCAATAAGGATTATTTCTTTTGCTCTAATTTTGCTCCATAGTAATGTCTAGTTTAAAATAAAATTGGATAGTAGGATACTAATTCATGTGATTATATTTATGAAAGTAAGAGAAATGCAATTTTATAAAAGTTTTCTTTTTCTTTTTCTTTTTCTTTTTCTTCTACTTTATTCTTAAGGTAAATAGTCTCTTTATAAATAATCTTTGAGGTCAAAAACTAACTTATATATAGGTACAAAGAATATTAAAGGGATTTTAGATATAGCATAGATTTCATGTCATTTGAGCATCTAATAAAGGTTTATATACATTAATTAAACATATGTTTAATCCATATAACCTTGATTTATTAGATATTGTGCTTACAAAGTTTAATGGTTGTTTATCTTGGTATGATAGTACCAATGAAGGTTTTTTTAAAAATCAAATAATAATAGAAAGTTTTACATTGCTTAGAAATTACCAAATTGAACGTATTTGAAGCTTTTGGTCACTAATTTTAATATTGCACAAGTTTTTTTCTTCACTTCAAATTCAAAAGAGTATTTGAAAGATGATAAAATAAGCCTCTTTACATCAAGAATCTTTTTATAGATTTGTTTAAAAGATTGGATTAAAAAATTTATATAGCACAAAAATTAAATTTTTTTAAAAAATGTGGTAAAAAAACTTTTAGCATCCATTTAACTTAAAATGTATTCAAAATATTTCTATGTTGATGAAGTTTAGGCCTCTATTTAGAATACTTTGGTTTAAAAGTTGCTAAGAAATATTAATTCTTGCATTGATTTTTATTTTTTTTTCAAAAATATGTTTTAACTAGTCTTTAGATTAACTTTATAGATGTCAAAAAACTATACTATACGATGATAGAATAGATAATGGCTCAAGCTACAAGAACACTCTAAGTTGCTACACACACAACTTGTATTACCATATGCACATCAAAAAAACATAGAAGCTTGTGATTGGCTAGATGTTTTTATGTAGACTTTGCTACTTAATATAATTGGAAGGGAATTAGAAGAAGTGGCAGCCTCCCCTCTAATAGTCATGTTGACTTGTTGATGAGCAAAGTCAAAGGGTGTTGTTCTTTGTGGGGCCCTTTGAAGAATAGAGCCTCCGCAAGAAAATTTAAAATCTACATTTTGTACCAAGTCTTTTTTTGCCAAATTTTATTGCATTACACCTTTTGCTAGCTATATATATTTATAAATATAATATAATGCGCTTGTTACTCAAAAGCTTTGTAATAATATTAACTTAGAGTACAAAACATACACATATATGTATACATATATATATATATATATATATATATATATATATAAGCAAATAATCAAGCTCTTACATATTCACACACATATACATATATATATATATATATATATATATATATATATATAAGCAAATAATCAAGCTCTTGCATATTCACACATATATATATATATATATATATATATATATATATATAAGCAAATAATCAAGCTCTTGCATATTCACACACACACACACACACACATATATATATATATATATATATATATATAATGAATAATGACAATATCTATCTAATATTTATTCCTTTCAGCATAATTGAGTTTTCTACACTAAAAAAGTGTAGGCTTTTTGTTAAGATATTGCTCTATTCAAGCATTCAAACTCCACCTCTAACATGTCAAAAGAGTAGCAACCATCACTTGCAATACAACGGGCAATAAATAAGAAGGTACTTATGATTTGAAACAAATTGTGTATCTAATGACAAATGGCCTCCATGGCTGTTGTTGATAAACATTATCTTGTTTATGCTCATTGTTGCAAATAAAAGAATAGAATGAAATTCACAAACAAATAATGAATAAAAATTTGGCTAGTTATAAAGTTGTCAATGAAATGCTTAATGCTCGGCAATTAGGAATTCTTCAATAGGCAATGTTTATAGAGATTGTTAGTTGATTGGGCTCTATTCAAGATCCAAGTCTTAGTCTTTGGTGGTTGAAGATATGTGCTTGAAATTATTTATTAAAGTTGCCATAAAAATTGGTATAATATTATAGATTATTGAAGTGAATACAAAACAAAGATTTTTTCTTGATAAAGTTGTCCATGAAGTAGAGATCTTTGCTTCCACAAGATATTGTTGATATAAGGTGTAGATTTTAAATTTTATAGCAAAGGCTTTGTCCTTGGAGATTCTAGCAAGAAATAACACTCTTTGATCTAACTTCTTAACTAATTAGTAAGACTACTAGAACAAGGATTTACACCTCTTCTAAACTCCGTCTTCTCCCCCCTCACCTCTCCTACTTGAGTTATATGGCAGGGTTCATATAAAAATATCCAACGAATTACAAGAATCCATATTTTTTGAGTGTGCATATAACAATATGAGGTGTTTGTATAGCAACTTAGAATGTGCTTGTAGCTTGAGCTTACATAATTTCTATAAAAATAATATAATTAATTATTATTATTTTATTTTAAAAAAAATAAATTTATAAAGTAATAATATTTAAATTTTTGAAGATTTTTTAAATTATGAAATTAATAATAGTCTTAGAATTAAAATTAAGTCCAATATAATTCCCAATAAAATAATTGATCATCTATTCTTTGTGTAATTCTATTGCTATTGAATTTTGATTATATTTTTGAAAAATAAAAAAATCATATAATTATTGATTTTTTTAATTGATTACAAAATCTAAAATAAAATTAAAAATATTAATAACTACTATATTTATAGTTATATTTGATTATATAAAATAATCAAATATAATCAAAATATTGACTTATTATCAATTTTTTTGTATTTAGAGATAACATTAATTTTTTGATTGTGGCAAGATAGAAAGATATGCAAGGTACAATTAGTAATTTTCTCTACAATAAAATAAAAGTATTGAATCATAGTATATTTTTTTCTTATATTATTTAAAATTATTTTTAAAAAATAAAATAATAATAATAATAATATTTACTTAAATTTTTGATCTATGAAATTTTAAGTCTATTATGTTTATAAACTATGTCCAAAGTCCAATTGCTTTATTTTTTGAGTATGAACTTTCACTTATTGTAGTCATGCTTAAAAATAACAGATATTTTTTAACAAAATTATTTAATATTTATAAATATTAAATTATCTAGTATATATTTGAAAGATAAATAAATTATTTAATTTTGACTTAGAAGATTTCAAGGATGAAAAACCAAAAAAATTAAATAAACAAACAAAATTTTTCTTAAAGAAAGATAAGAAAAATAAAATAATGAAATGCATAAATTCAAGAAGAAACTAGAATAGCTATTGCTAAAAGACAAGAAAATTAGACTAGAGGCAAGAAAAGAATTGATAAGACTGAGGAAGGCTTCATTCTTGTATTTATATGAATCAAATTTTTTGACTCACAATACAATTAGAAAAAAATATTAGAATAAATCAATAGAGTTAAGAGGAGAAAAGTTTGGATGTAGTTAAGTAGGATAAATTATCAAAGAAAAGACTCATTTAGGTGTAAAGAGCAAAGTATAATTATAATGGTAGATGAAACAATTGTGGTTTAAAATTAAATTAAGTAGGGA